CGTTTGTAGACGTATTTTTTCCCTTTGTTCGGACTGAACTGCTTCATAAACTGGACTATAGGAGCAACTGACCACTGTCCTGTTACTGCCATATATAACGGACACCCTATAGGAGCACTCCCACACATGTTCTCTTACACTGCCATATATACTGGACTATATAGGAGCACTCCCACCACTGTCCTGTATACTGTGCCATATATACTGGACTATAGGAGCACTCCCCACCACTGTCCTGTACACTGCCATATATACTGGAGTATAGGAGCACTCCCACCACTGTCCTGTACACTCCATATATACTGGACTATAGGAGTCAACTCCCCATACTGTACACTGCCATATATACTAGGAGCACTCTACCAGTGTATATTACTCACCCATATACTGGAATATGGACACCGTCCTTTACACTCTATAGGTTAGACTATAAGAACACTCCCCACCACTGTCCTGTACACTGCCATATATACTGGACTATTGGAGCACTCCACCATTGTACTGTATACAGCCATATGTACTGAAGTATAGGAGCACTCCCCCACTGTGTCTGTTTACTGCCATATATACTGGAGTATAGGAGCACTCCCACACACTGTCACTTACACTATATACATATATAGGAGCACTCCCACCATTGTTTACACTGTCATATATATGGAACACTCCCACCACTGTCCTGTACACTGTCTTATATGCTTGAGAGTATAGTAGCACTCCCACCACTGTCCTTTACACTGTCATATATAGGAGTATAGGAGCACTCCCCACCACTGAACTGCTCCTATTATGGTTTGACTATAAGAACACTCCACCACTGTGCTGTACACTGCCATATATGCTTGACTATAGTAGCTCTCCAACCACTGTACTGTATACAGTCGTAAGTACTGAAGTATAGGAGCACTCCCAACACTGTGCTGGTACACTGCCATATATATTGCACTATAGGAGCTCTCCAACCAACTTTCTCTTTCGTAGAGACCGGGGAAATAGGGTGGTGGTGTCCATCTCTATGTGAGAAGTGATCTCAGAGCGAGTGTGAAAGAGTACCTAGATGACGGAGAGTGTGATGAGGCTGAAGCATTATGGTGGAACTGCACATGGGGGGCGTACTACAAAGCTAATTGGTGTTTGTTATAGGCCACACAGTGTTAATGAGGAGGTGGAGACTCAGCTCCTCGCTCACACAGATTGAAAAGGCTGCAAGATCAGGACAGTGATAATAATGGGGGATTTTAGCTACCCAGAAATTGATTGGAGTAATTGTACTGCAGGAACAGTTAAAGGGCAAAAATGTATAAACCTACTACAGGACAATTTTATGGTACAGTTCATAGAGGCCCCAACTAGGAATGATGCTCTGCTGGACCTGGTTATCTCAAACCATGTTCAAACAACAAGAGAAAAATTTCCAGCTCAACTCGCCAACCAGCCTGCAAACAAATTGAATTAACCCGTCTAACAGTATGCGTTAAAAATAGCGGTTTAGTTAGCACACATTTGCGAACACACATGCGTAAGCTACAGAACCTCGTCACGGCACCCTGTTCTGTAGTCCTAATTCTACAAATTTTGAGAGCCCCATAGTAGAGGCACATGTATTTAATGGATAGACCAAGGGCAGGTGGACCTGAGGTAGCCCACCCCTCCTTAAGGTACAGGAGCGCACTGGACAGCCAGCATTAGGTTTGTTTGCAGGTTGGTTAGCAAGTTGAGCTGGGAATTTTTCTCTTTTGTTGGACATGCGTCGCCCTTCCATGTGCTTCTTAGTGTGAAGGCCAGTTATAGACTGGGGCAGTGGCCATTTTTTGTACTATTGAATTGTTGGTGAGGGCGCTGGACACCTTAGCTGCCATTGTGCTACATGCTGGGTATCCAGTGCGCTCCTGTACCTTTAAGCAGGGGTGGGCTCTCTCAGGTCCACCTGCCCTTGGTCTATCCATTAAATACATGTGCCTCTACTATGTAGGCTCTCAAAATTTGCAGAGTTCAGGAACTACAGAATATCGGGGTGCTGTGATGAGGCTCTGTAGCTTACACACATGTATTTGCAAATCTGTGCTAACTAAACCCATGTTTTTAACGCATACTGTTAGACAGGTTAATTCTGTTTGTTTGAAGGCTGGTTGGCAAGTTGAGCTGGGAATTTTTCTCTTCTGTTTGACATGCGTTGCCCTTCCTTGTGCTCCTTGCTGTGAAGGCCAGTTATAGACTGGGGCAGTGGCCATTATTTGTAATCTCAAACCATGCAGAGCTTATTACGAATGTCCAAATAAAATAAGATCGATGTAGCAGTGACCATAACATGATTTCATTTATTGTTAGCTTTATACATCAAGCACACATGGGGAAAAATAAAACCGCTCAACTTTAAGAGAGCTAATGTTTCAAGGCTGAGAGCTGCTTTCCAAGACTTACACTGGGAGGGAATATTGGCATCAATGAACACAACACAGAAATGGGGAGTTCTTAAAAAAAACTGTATGTGAACGCCCTGCAAAATATGTTCCCATGGGCAACAAGTTTAAAAGGCTAAAAATCAAACCTATGTGGCTTACGGCCAAAGTTAAAAAGGCTAAAAATAATAAGAAAAGAGCTTTTATTAAATATAAAAATGAAGGAACGCGATCATCGTTTACACATTACAAAGAATATAACGGAATATATAAAAAAGAAACAAAGGCCACAAAAATTGAAAACGAATGACAGATTGCGAAAGATAGCAGAACCAACCCCAAACAATTATTCAAATATATATTACAGAATCATCTAGAGGGGGTGACTGGGGACAAAGAGAAGGACAATGTATGAAATCCCTTCTTCAGCTCTGCGTATACAAAGGAGCATGGGGGGAGCTCTTGTCCATAATGGGGGGGTAGACAACGAGTACTGACACAGCTCCAGATGATCCACATTGCCTCACAATTGATATGATCCAAAAATATTTAGACAGAATAAAGGTGAATAAAGCCCCTGGACCGGATGGCATACACCCACGGGGCCTTACAGAATTCAGCTCTGTCATTTCAAAGCCATTGTTTCTAATTTTTAGGGACTCTAATGACTGGCATAGTACCACTGGACTGGTGTAAAGCCAATGTGATGCCAATATTTAAAAAATAAATAAATACATTTATAAAATAAAATTACAGTTGGGAAGATCCTGGAGAGTTTAATAACAGACCACATAGATGAGTTATTGCTGGAAAAAAATATTTGAAGCAACAGACAGCATGGATTCAGGAAAGACAGAAGTTGTCTAACAAATCTGATTTCTTTTTAGGAGGAGGTGAGTGGAGCAAAAAACCTTGGACAGAGGGGTGGAGGTTTATGTGGTATACTTGGACCGAGGAGTGGAGGTGGACGTGGTATACTTGGACCGAGGAGTGGAGGTGGACGTGGTGTACTTGGACCAAGGAGTGGAGGTGGACGTGGTGTTATGTGGTACTTGGACCGAGGAGTGGAGGTGGACGTGGTGTACTTGGACCGAGGAATGGAGGTGGACGTGGTATACTTGGACCGAGGAATGGAGGTGGACGTGGTATACTTGGTGAAAGCGATATGTGCTTCTAATAATACACTGGCAGGTTTAGGCCCCAATTGGATCCAAGAGGCCGAGTTCTGGAAAAGAATTAGCATGCACACACAGAGGTTTCCAGAAGACGATCTGATCTTTATTCGTAGATTCTTCTTCTTATATATTGTAACAAAGAAAATCATACAATAGAATTTCGCTAGATACTTGTCAAGGCTGTGAAACATGATTTTTCTCAGGCCTTGAAATCAGTTACAAGTAACCAACAGTTATTTTCCCATGGGACAGAAGTATTTGACTTTTAACTATATCATAACAGAAACAGATGCTGTTAGTACAAAGAAATAATTGGATACTATCCCTGCCTCTACCAAGGCTAAGCTAAGATAAAAAAAAACAAAAAGAATATTGTGAGTACAGTTCTATAGCACATAACTGACAGCATATTTTCATTAACTCATTCTGGGTATAATACAAAAGCAATTAATAATACAAGAAACAACATGGAGTGATACATTTTCCCTTCACTTGGGACAGGGGGGTGGCGGTGGACATGGCATACTTGGACAGAGGGGGTGGCGGTGGACGTGGATATACTTGGACAGAGGGGGGCGGTGGACATGGTATACTTGGAAAGAGAGGGGTGGCAGTGGACGTGGTATACTTGGACAGAGGGATGGCGAGTGAACGTGGTATACTTGGACAGAGGGGTGGCTGTGGACGTGGTATACTTGGACAGAGGGGTGGCTGTGGACGTGGTATACTTGGACAGAGGGGTGGCTGTGGACGTGGTATACTTGGACAAGAGGGGTGGCTGTGGACATGATATACTTGGACAGAGGGGTGGCTGTGGACATGGTATACTTGGACAGAGGGGTGGCTGTGGACATGGTATACTTGGACAGAGGGGTGGTGGGGTGGACATGATATACTTTGACAGAGGGATGGACGTGGTATACTTGGACAGAGGGGTGGACGTGGTATACTTGGACAGAGGGGTGGTGATGGACATGATATACTTGGACAGAGGGGTGGCTGTGGACGTGATATACTTGGGGACAGAGGGGTGGCTGTGGACGTGACATACTTGGACAGAGGAGCAGGTGGTGGGCGTGGTATAGTTGGACAGAGGAGTGGTGGCGGGCGTGGAGTACTTGGGACAGAGAGTGGCGGCGGACATGGTATACTTGGACAGAGGGGTGGTGGTGGACATGATATACTTGGACAGAGGGGTGGCAGTGGACCTGGTGTACTTGGACAGAGGGGTGGCTGTGGACGTGATATACTTGGACAGAGGGGTGGCGGTGGAGTGGTATACTTGGACAGAGGGGTGACGGTGGACGTGGTTATACTTGGACAGAGGGGTGGCGGTGGACGTGGTATACTTGGACAGAGGCGGTGGCTGGGTGGACGTTGGGGAGAGGGGGGTGGTAGGCTAGAGGGTAGTGTCACATGTATGGGCCCGAGGGGGGGGGGTAGACATGGTATATACTTGGACAGAGGGGTGGGGGTAGACATGGTATACTTGGACAGAGGGTTGGCTGTGGACCTGGTTATACTTGGACAGAGGGGTGGCGGTGGACGTGGTATACTTGGACAGGGGGGGGTGGCAGTGGACATGGTATACTTGGACAGAGGGGTGGCGGTGGACGTGATATACTTGGACAGAGGGGTGGCAGTGGACGTGGTATACTTGGACAGAGGGGTGGCAGTGGACGTGGTATACTTGGACAGAGGGATGGCAGTGGACGTGGTATACTTGGACAGAGGGGTGGGCGGTGGATGTGGTACACTTGGACAGAGGGGTGGCGGTGGACAAAGTATACTTGGACAGAGGAGTGGTGGTGGGCGTGGTATAGATTGGACAGAGGGGTGGCGGTGGACACGGTATACTTGGACACAGTTCCCCACACATGGCTAACGTGTGCTATGGGCTAGAAAATTCCGTATGTAAATGAATAGAAAACTGGCTAAAAGATCGTATTCAGAGAGTAGTGGTTAATGATTTATACTCTGAATGGTCTGGGGGTGTCAGTGGTGTACCCCAAGGTTCAGTGTGATTAGTGGTGTATCCCAAGGTTCAGTGTGATTAGTGGGGTACCCCAAGGTTCAGTGTTGTCAGTGGGGGACCCCAAGGTTCAGTGTTGGGACCCTTACTTTTTAATTATTTATAAACAACATCGGGGATTTCAGACTTTGCAGATGACACCAAGCTGTGCCGTGGAATAACGTCCTCACAGGATGTCTCCAACCTACAAGCCGACCTCAATGCTCTGTGTAATTGGGGGACTATGGGGCCAATTAGGTCTAATGTTGATAAATGTAAGGTTATGCACTTGGGGGCTAAGAATATGCATCATACATACTAGGGGGGGGTACAACTGGGGGGGATCAATGGTGGAGAAGGATCTGGGGGGGTCAATGGTGGAGAAGGATCTGGGGGGGTCAATGGTGGAGCAGGATCTGGGGGTCCTGGTAGATTAAAGGCTTAATAATGGCAGCAATGCCAAGCTGCGGTTTCTAAAGCGAGCAAAATCCTCTCTTGTATTAGGAGAGGTATAGACTCCAGAGAGAGAGATATCACCCCCCCCCTGAACAAATCATTAGTAAGACCTCCTCTGGAATATGCAGTTCAGTTTTGGGCTCCAATTCACAAAAAGAACATTGGGGAACTGGAGAAAGTACAGAGAAGGGCAGCTAAACTGATACGAGACATGGAGGAGATCAGCTATGAGGAAAGATTAGAGGAACTGAATGTATTCTCCACTGAGAAGAAGAGATTAAGGGGGGATATGATCACCATGTATAATACATAAGGGGGGGATACGATCTCCATGTATAATACATAAGGGGGGATACGATCTCCATGTATAATATACATAAGGGGGGATACGATCTCCATGTACAATACATAAGGGGGGATATGATCTCCATGTAGAATACATAAGGGGGGATATGATATCCATGTATAATACATAGGGGGGGGGATATGATCTCCATGTATAATACATAAGGGGGGGATATGATCTCCATGCATAATACATAAGGGGGGGATATGATCTCTATGTATAATACATAAGGGGGATATGATCTCCATGTATAATAGACATAAGGGGGGATATGATCTCCATGTATAATACATAAGGGGGGATATGATCTCCATGTATAATACATAAGGGGGGATATGATCACCATGCATAATACATAAGGGGGGATATGATCACCATGCATGATACATAAGGGGGGATATGATCTCCATGCATGATACATAAGGGGGGATATGATCTCCATGTATAATACATAAGGGGGAATATGATCACCATGTATAATACATAAGGAGGGATATGATCTCCATGTATAATACATAAGGGGGGATATGATCTCCATGTATAATACATAAGGGGGGATATGATCTCCATGTATAATACATAAGGGGGATATGATCTCCATGTATAATACATAAGGGGGGATATGATCTCCATGTATAATACATAAGGGGGATATGATCACCATGTATAATACATAAGGAGGGATATGATCTCCATGTATAATACATAGGGGGGATATGATCTCCATGTATAATACATAAAGGGGGGGATATGATCTATGTATAATACATAAGGGGGATATGATCACCATGTATAATACATAAGGGGGGATATGATCTCCATGTATGATACATAAGGGGGGATATGATCACCATGTATAATACATAAGGGGGGATATGATCTCCATGTATAATACATAAGGGGGTATGATCTCCATGTATAATACATAAGGGGGGATATGATCTCCATGTATAATACATAAGGGGGGATATGATCTCCATGTATAATACATAAGGGGGTATATGATCCCCCTTTGAAGAATGCTATTTACTTAATACCTCTTTTAGCAGATGTTGACCAACTCCTTTCATGTCTGACTGAGAGATCTGCATTTTATCACCTTTGCAGGTTTGCAGATTACCTCCTGTGAAATGTAACAAGTCGGCCCCTGAGTGCTCAGGTTATCTTGTATAAAATGAACATAGCAAAGAGTTCTTGGCTGCTTTTGTTGTGTAAAATACATCTCGCTCAGTCATATTCTGGCTCGGTCAATAACATGAGAATACACCACATACAATATATATATAATTACAATATCCCTACACGAACGTGCAAAGGTTGACCATTCTCAATGTTTAGCAGAGATAATGTCTCTAAAGAAGAGTGTTGTTGTTGCTGCAAGTAAGGTCTATGATGGATGTTTAGGTTTTGTAGCAGCTGTTGAGACTGACTCGGGCTTAGCAATAGAGAATGGGTCTGACTGTAATCATTTCTTCTCTCTGGCTCCATTCTTGCAACCATTGAGAAATACTGTGTGAGCTGTGATTGGTCACAGCTTGTCACATGGTACAATGCTTTTGTGAATGGTCCTGTACCATGTGACCTCTGTGATCATTCACAGATTTCACACGTAGTAAGCAATGATGTCAGAAGTGATATATTGTTTACTACTCTGCATGTGATCACTGATTGGCCAATCAGTGATCACATGATCGGGACCTTGCACAGAAGTCCCGTACGACGTTCAGTGTTCCACTGTGTCCAGAGGAAACAGCGGGCACCCGATCATGGTGCTGTGCGCTCCCAGGGAGCACGCACAAGCAGGAGGCCGTGAGGCCATTTATAAATGGACACCCACCCCTGCACTGCCACCATCTGGCCGTTTATATACAACGGCTGGACGGGAAGTGGTAAGGAAGCCTCTTTTTGGTTAAATGTGACAGGACACAGGAAGGTTCTCTGAAGGTTTCCAATGATTGCATGAATATTCTAAGTATCCCATCATCTGCCTTGTCTGTACCTCTGTCTTATGAACTGTCACTGAACTGAATAAATGCATCTCTCTGGAAGAGAACTGTTAGTTGCTGCGGTAAAATATACACGGGTCATACATCCTCCATCATTGATAGAAGACAACAGATTTGTCTGATGAACTGTTTCGGTGTGGACCTCATAATTGATAAGACAACAATACACAGATAAAGACCCCCCTCCATGAGGATGTATAAATGTGAAAGATCATCACAAAGTGGATAACAAAGCTTTCCCCAATATTGTAATAGTACAAGAAACTGTGAAGGGATGGACGCTGCTCAATGACACCAGGAGTCCAATGTTAAGGAATGGCCTCAGCTGCCTTTCTGGCCACGACCTCTGGTATGTTTTGCCCCGCCCACTGGGGGGGCTTGGTCACAGAGACTCTGTGACCAAGCTCCCCCAGTGGGTGGGGAGAAACAGGTCAGAGGGCATGGTCAGAATGGAAGCTGAGGCCATTCCCTAACATTGGACTCCTGGGGTCATTGAGTCGCGTCCATCCCTTCACTTGTATTGGCTGACACTGGAATCGCTCAGACTCATGCTCCCCTCTTCTCACTTCCCGGTTGGGGTGACCATTTTCCTTCCATCCACAGCTTGGAGCCGCGCCATAAGGTATACTTTTCACGAAACACAGGAAACTGACAGAAGAGGCATGCAACACATTAATAAAGTAGATCGACTTGTTTCAGGTCAGAGCAAGCAGCAGGATCTGCTCAGTCTTTTTGGTTTAGATCAGGGGTCTACAAACTTTCTAAACAAGGGGCCAATTTACTGTCCTTCAGAGTTTAGGGGGGACAAACTGTGGTCATTGGGAGTAGAAAAGGTCCTGATGTCAGTGGGAGGAATAGTGCCCCATCTTTGGTGTCAGAGGGAGGAATAGTGCCCCATCTTTGGTGTCAGTGGGAGGAATAGCACCTGATTGTTGGTGTCAGTGGGAGGAATAGCACCCATCTTTGGTGTCAGTGGGAGGAATAGCACCCGATTGATGGTGTCAGTGGGAGGAATGGTAACTCATCATTGGTGTAATTGGGAGATATTGTGCCCCATCGTTTGTGTCATTGGAATAAATTGTGCCCCTTCATTGCTGTCTATGGGGAGAATTATGACCCAATTATTGGTACCACTGGGTGAAATAGTGCCTCAAGGGTCGGATAAAAGCAATCAAAGGGTCGGATAAAAGCAATCAAAGGGCCACACACTACACAAGCCCGGTGTTCTTAAATGAAGTGTTTTTGGCCGTGTGTAGCAATCCAAGTGTCAGCTAATGGGTAGTAACGCCAAACCACAAAAAACCAAAATGTTTTTCACAATCCAACTTTATAGTCTATGATGTGTCCAGGACTCCAGCACGGGATTTGTTGTCAATTTAAGGTATGGATAGCGCCGCTGGAAACACCCACTTAAACAAATAATATGTATATAAAAGAGCAGCTAAAACCCGACCCTCAAAACAAGGTAGAAAAATTACAAAACAGAAAAAAGGCAGCGCTCTAAACAAACAATGAATAATAATAAAAATCAATCAAACTGTGAATGAAAATATATATCAAGTGCAAAAAAAAGAATAAACAGTAAATAGAACAAAGTCCAATAAATATGATCTATGTGCAGAAAAAATGATAAAAAAATTGATTTCATCAAACAAATAGAGCGTTCAACGTAATCATGAAAAAATATATATATTCTGCAAATTCAATACTCACCGGAGCAACCTGCTGGTCAGATTATAAACCAGCACACAGCTTTCACTTAAGGGAGCAACGATCTGCAGATTGATGACCGGCAATTGGGAAGCGATTCAATGAACATAAATTTCTTCTTGAAATAAAAAAACTCATAAAGGAAGAGAGAGGAAACTAATAGTGTAAAATCGTACGGCAATTTTATTCATAAAAACATTCCATCTAATGCACTCACATTCCGTTGTGTCAAAGCCGACACTGGCATGACAAGGTGTCCGCAGACGCCGGCAGCTCATTGGACATGGCAACGTCACTCCAAAGCTCCACCCTACGCATTTCGTCACTCGACATCCTCACGGAGTGCAAGGACGTGAGTCACCAATCGTAGGCAATATATAACCCACACAATGTAGCATATGGAGACAAATTAGCCCTAAATCTTGCTATTACAATCTCTGCAAAAAAAAATCTTAAACTGTAACCACTAAACCAATCAAACTAACCTAAAAATAGGTAAAAAAAACCTCAATAAATTAATACAATGCCTGATCGGGTATTTTTAAAGGGCCAGTCCATATTAAAGAGGAACTCTGCTTTACACCATGCTCAATGTAAAAAAAAAAATGAAACAACAGCTCGCATTAAAGAAGGACTCCAATCTCAACATGCCACTAATTATATAAAATCCTTCATGACCAAACTCCAAAAATTAAAATACAACAGTATTATTATTATAATACAGGATTTATATTGCGCCAACAGTTTGCTCAGCGCTTTACAATATAAGGGAGAAAGTACAATTACAATACATTTCAGTACAAAAGGAATAGGAGGGCCCGGCTCATGGAGCTTACAATCTAAAGGAAGGGGGAGGGGATACAAAAGGTGATAGCTGCGGGGGATGATCTGGTGGAGGTGATTCAAGTACAGTTCTTAGGCAGAGGTGGGGTAGGCTTCCCTGCAGAAGTGCGTTTTCAAAGATCGCCTAAAGGCATACAAGGTGGGGGCTGACCGGACATATTGTGGTAGGGAGCTCCAGAGGATGGGAGAGGCTCTGGAGAAGTCCTGGAGGAGAGCGTGGGAGGAGGTGATGAGGGAGCTAGAGAAGAAGACATCTTCGGAGGAGCGGAGTGGGCGATATCTGTGGATGAGGTTGGTGATGTAGCTAGGGGCAGTGTTGTGGATGGCTTTGTATGTTGTGGTTAATATTTTGAATTTTATACGTTGGGTTAGTTGAAGCCAGTGGAGGGATTGGCAGAGAGGGATGGAGGACACTGAATGGAGGTCAGTGAAAGGATTGGCAGAGAGGGGTGGAGGACACTGAATTGAGGTCAGTGGATGGATTGGCAGAGAGGGGTGGAGGACACTGAGGGGAGGTCAGTGGAGGGATTGGCAGAGAGGGATGGAGGACACTGAGTGGAGGTCAGTGGAGCGATTGGCAGAGAGGGATGGAGGACACTGAATGGAGGCCAGTGAAGGGATTGGCAGAGAGGGGTGGAGGACACTGAATGGAGGTCAGTGGAGGGATTGGCAGAGAGGGGTGGAGGACACTGAGGGGAGGTCAGTGGAGGGATTGGCAGAGAGGGGTGGAGGACACTGAGGAGAGGTCAGTGGAGGGATTGGCAGAGAGGGGTGGAGGACACTGAGGGGAGGTCAGTGGAGGGATTGGCAGAGAGGGGTGGAGGACACTGAGTGGAGGCCAGTGGAGGGATTGGCAGCAGGGGGGTGGAGGACACTGAGGGGAGGTCAGTGGAGGGATTGGCAGAGGGGGGTGGAGGACACTGAGGGGAGGTCAGTGGAGGGATTGGCAGAGAGGGGCAGCAGTCACTGATCGGTTGGTAAGGTGGAGGAGTCTAGCAGCAGCATTCATAATAGACTGAAGGGGGATAGCCTGTGTAACGGTAGACCAGTGAGGAGGGAGTTGCAGTAGTCAAGGCAGGATATAACCAAGACGTGGATAAGTTGTTTTGTGGTCTCATTTTTGTCAGAAAGGGACGGATTTTGGAGATGTTCCGGAGGTTGAGGCGGCAGGATTTAGCCAGTGATTGGATGTGGGGCCCAAAGTAGAGGTCAGAGTCTAGGATTATGCCAAGCACCCTGGCATGAGGGGAAGGACCAATGGTTGTGCTGTTGATCTTAATGGTAAAGTCATGAGTGGGGGATCGGGGGGAGGAAATATTACAGCTCGGTTTTTAAAAGATTGAATTTGAGGTAGTAATGTGACATCCATGCTGATATGTCGCTTAGGAGATTTGTGATACGTGAGGAGATTGAGGGGATGAGCTGGGGAGTGGAGATATAGATCTGGGTGTCATCAGCATAGAGGTGGTATTGGAAGCCATGGGAGGTTATCAGTTGGCCCAAGGAGGAGGTATAGAGAGAGAAAAGGAGAGTAGCAGTATGTAAAAAATATTAACCACTTCCATACCGGGTACTTTCCCCCCTTCCTGCCAAGGCCATTTTTCAGGTTTCAGCGCTCTCACACTTTGAATGACAATTGCGCGGTCATACAACATTGTACCCAAACTAAAATTTTATAATTTTCTTCACACAACTAGAGCTTTCTTTTGGTGGTATTTAATCACCGCCGGGGTTTTTATTTTTTGCTAAATTAACAAAAAAAGAACCAAAATTTTGAAAAAAACCACATTTTTCTTTGTTTCTGTTATAAAAGTTTACAAATAAATAATTGTTCTTCATAAATTTAGGCCGAGATGTATTCTGCTACATGTCTTTGGTGAAAATAACCCAAATTAGGATGTATTATTTAGTTTGTAGGAAGGTTATAGAGTTCACAAACTATGGGATAGATCTGAATATTGATCAATCCTGAAGTACTGACAGCCAATCTAATTTCTTGAGGTCCAAGAATGTCAGAACAGTACAGATATCCCCCAAATGTCAGGACAGTACAGATATCCCACAAATGTCAGGACAGTACAGATATCCCCCCAAATGTCAGGACAGTACAGATATCCCCCAAATGTCAGAACGGTACAGATATCCCCCAAATGTCAGGACGGTACAGATATCCCCCAAATTTCAGGACGGTACAGATATCCCCCAAATTTCAGGACGGTACAGATATCCCCCAAATGTCAGGACAGTACAGATATCCCCCAAATGTCAGGACAGTACAGATATCCCCCAAATTTCAGGACGGTACAGATATCCCCCAAATGTCAGGACAGTACAGATATCCCCCAAATGTCAGGGCAGGACAGATATCCCCAACTGACCCCTTTTTGCAGAGTAGACGGTCTGACGTACTTTATAAGAGTCATGGCGAGTTTTTTGAAATTGAAAAATTGAAAAAATTAGTTTCACTATTTTTTTTTTTACATACTGTCACCAGTGCAGTACAGCATCATCATATAACTGGCATGGCGGTGATCAGGGACACTGACTGGTGACAGTATGAAAAAAAAAAATATATTTTTTTAAAAAATTTTTATTACTTCTTTTTCAGATTTTTTTTCATATTTCACTATGTCCAAAGTAGTACAATGTTACCATAGTAACATTGTACTACTTTGGGGAAGTGATCAGTATTTTTTTTTTTTACCAATTTGCTTATAGCAAAGAATTACTTTGCTATAAGCAAGCATTTACCTGAATGACATCGATTCATTCAGGGTTTTTTTTTTTTTGTGCTTAGCTGTGATTTGGTCACAGCTAATCACATGACATGTGCATGTGATTAGCTGTGACCATTCACAGCTAGGCACTAGTATACAATGGATGGCATGAATGAAGCCATCCATTGTATACAACTGTCATGTGACCTGCTGTGATTAGTCACAGCAGGTCACATGGTACCGGCAACGGGGGCCGGTACTCAGATCTGTCATCGGCCGTGTCCGAGGTACACGGCCGGTGACAGATCGCGCCGCTGCGCGGCTCTGCAGAAGCGCAATCTGCGCATGTGCGGGAGGACGTCATATGGCGTCCGCCCGGAACGCTGATGACATTTGCCGGCCGCCATTCGGCCATAGGAAGGGTGGCAAATGGTTAATAATAACATACAAACAAACCCAACAATGAAACAGGTCTGATTGACATATAATAATACACATACTAAATAATGAATCGCAATGGTGGGAACAAAATGGATAACTCTGCGCAATAAAAAGCAACTCTGCATCATACAAAGGTTTGATGGAGGCAACCAACACAACCCACTGCAAACTGAACATTGATACATTAACCCCTCACCTACCGGGCACTTCTACCCCCTTCCAGTCCAGGCCAATTATCAGCTTTCAGCGCTGTCGCACTTTGAATGACAATTGCGCAGTCATGCAACACTGTACTCATATGACATTTTATCATTTTTTTAGACAGAGAGCTTTCTTTTGATGGTATTTAACCACCTCTGGGTTTTTTTTATTTTTTGCTAAACAATCCAAAAACCACTGAAAATTTTGAAAAAAAAAAAAAAGTTTTTTCTTAGTTTTTGTTATAAAATTTTGTAAATAAGTGATTTTTCTCCTTCACTGATGTGCACTAATGAGGCTGCAGTGATGGGCACTGATAGGTTGCACTGATAAGTGGCACTGATGAGGAGGCACTGGTAGGTGGCACTGATAGGCATTGACAGGCATCACTGATAGGTGGCACTAATTGGCAGCACTGATAGGCATTGATACGTAACACTGAAAGGCAGCTCAGATGGGCACTGATGTGGCATTGATGTGCACTGGTAGGCACTGATATGTGGCATTGATGATCACTGACAGGTGGCACTGCTGGGGCTACACAGATCAGCAGTGCCCTGATGATCAGTGTACATGTCCCCTCCAAGGAATGCCGATTACCGGCTCTCCTCTCCTGTCAGCGTGACAGCTCGTGAGGAGAGAAACACAGATAACCGGCATTTCCCTATTTACACGTGATCAGCTGTGATTGGACACAGCTGATCACAGGACCGAGCCAACATCTTCGGCTCCTTCCATTGATCGGTGATCCGCTGTGTCCGAGGGAAACAGCGCACCACCGATCGCCGCGCTGCGCACTACCGGAGCCACGCATGTGCAGTTAGAATGGGAGGACGTCATATGACATCCTCCCAGAACGAGAGAACCGTCTTGCCCCCGTCATTACCTTATATGGTGGGTGGGAGGTGGTTAAAGAATAACTCCTCCAAACAGTCATGAGATTTTTCTAGAAATCTGTGGGAAAGCAGTTCAAATCGATATCAATATTTAACCGTGCGGATCGCAAAATGTCTACTTCATATATCCAATGGGTTTCTCTCTTTGACACCTCATTGAACATATCAGTACCCCTCCAATGATAATTAATTTTCTCAATTCCATAAAAGGTCAATAAACTGGGATCACTATTATGTTTCAGTTTTGAAGTGCCTCGAAACGCTGTGTTTTTTAATATTATTAATATGTTCTCCTACTCACCGTTCTTCCCACATATTGGAAGTGACACGGACACTCCAACACATAAACCACACGTGAAGAGTCACAAGAAATCAGAGATTTAATACTGTATTCTTTCTTAGTTGATGCTGATCTAAAATTTCTCCTCTTTCTATTATACTTTTGGGCAGTTTTACATACTTTACACCTATTACAATAATAAAAACCTCCCAATTCGGGAAATAAACTAACGGTTTTTGGTAGCTCTATAACGTTATGTCTAATTTTAGTTCTTAAAGGTTTATTCTTCCTGTATACAAATCTGGGTTTGTTGAGATGGTATTTTTTAACACTTCATCTTTTAACAAAATGAACCGATATTTATTGAAAATTTTTTCTATATCCTTATATTGAGCATTATAATCAGTTACAAATGTTACCTCATCAAATAATTTATTCTTTTTGGTAGTACTCCCCAAAAGAGCTTCTCAATCCTTGCCCTGAATGTATACTTTGTTTCTCTAATAAAGATTTGCTATAACCCTTCTCCATAAACCTATTGATTAATAAATCTGTCTGATCTATAAAATATTTATTTCCGCTACAATTTCTTCTAATCCTAGTGAAGTGACTTCTAGGGGTGCTATATAACCATCTCGGATGATGACAGCTCCAGACAGGTATATAGCTACAAATACCAGCGAGTTATAATCAGGACCAACAATGGGGCAGAAGGACAGAGCGCACTACACAAGCCTGGGGTTCTTAAGTGTTTTTGGCCGTGTGTAGCAATCCGAGTGTCAGCTAATGGGTAGTAACGCCAAACCACAAAAAATATAACAAAATGTTTTTCACAGCCCAACTTTATAGTCTATGATGTGTCCAGGACTCCAGCACGGGATTTGTTGTACATCGAAGATCCCGATCAGGTTTGTTCCATAAATATTACAGATTCAGTTATAACTCGCTTGTCTTATCTTCTCCATAAACTGGGTTTATCTCCTGAAAATGAACACACGTGATATTTGTTAAAGTCTCTTGTAACAGAACAGGGTACAAATAGATCTGGTAATCTGGATGGAGGCGTTTGTGTTTTTAATACTGCGCCATTTCTTTTCTGTATTGGCCTAAAGGTGCCTGCCATCCTCTGCTTGTCAATAGTACAATATTGTTCACCTAACGAGGGGCGTTCAAGTCAAACCGGGACTTTTGAGTTTATATAATAAAAGAACAAATTTCATGGAGTGGACACTGCATTTATTTTTTTTAAATACTCTCCTGCTACATTTATCCATTTATCCCAGCGTGTAACTAATGCCTTGACCGCTTCAGCATAGAAAGATTTGTCAGCCTGACCCATCCTAGGACAGCCGGCTTCATTCCTCATCATTACGTTCACCGTTCCCACAGATGATCCAGGACCAGGCCTTCCATGTGCTGAATGTACACGGGAATGACTGCTGTGGGCTGGGAACCACCAAGCCCGGGATCAGCACTGATGGACAGATGGTCATTTTTGAAGCATTTACACCATTTAAATGTCTTA